GCATCTTCACAGAGATACCCAGAATAATGTTTTTCTGCATGTCTGAGCACCATAGCCCAGCCAAGGTGACATATAAAATTAACCATCCCAACAACTCACAGTACGATACGCACTTACACCACATTGGAGCACACGTATATACGGCTGAAACAAAAGTGGTGCTAAATAGTGGTTATCCTTCCTAACTGTGACATAGCCTTGTTTTTCCCTTCTTTTTTATTTCATTAAAAAGCATGTGTGACCCCCTCAATTGGTCTCTGGATTTGTGGTATGTCATAGAGATGGTCTTGTGAAACACCATCTGAGAATGTATCTTCAGAATGTTCTATCATCCCATAGCAAAGGTCCTTCCAGCCTGACTTTGTCTTAGCTCAGCCCAGACCTGTGCCTGTTCATGCCTCGGTTTCCTTATTTGTAGAGGAGGCACACTTACAAATATTTCTTCTACCTAACAGGGTTGTCGTGAACAATAAAATCAGAGCAAGGCAATGTATATGAAACCGTTTTGTAAACTCTGAGGTAATTTCGTGAGGTAATTGCTATTTTAAACTAGTCTATAATAACTTTCTTGTCTACCACTCAGGAACCTGAGAGGATGGTGCTATTTCATGAAAATTAGTTGGAGCTCTTCAACACTACTTGCCACATAAAACAAAGACAGCCCCAATTTCTTTAATCAAAATGATGATCAGCTTCTAAAAATGAGTCTCATCTCCCCTGAGATCATTCAGCATTAAAATCTGATTTTAAAGAAGGGAAAAAGGGCGGTATGTCTGGGTTCGATTCAGAGCCTCTCAGTTCTCCAGCCTTCTGCGACTTGCCCACTCTGCTAGTTCAGCGAGGCCTTTGGGGCAATCTTGGGGTGATTTAGTCACATCATTTGCCTTTAAGAGTCAGTGATGGGCTGAATGCCACCTCCAGCACTTTGTTTTAAAGCCATCTAACTGATGACCTGGGGAAGACATGGTGGGCAGGACCTAGAATTGGGAGCAGGGTTTCCTAGGTTGCATCCCCACTTATGAGGACAGAAGACAGATGTCCTGGAATGGAGCTGCCCTGACAGGCCAGCCTGCAGAGACAGAGCAGCCTCAGGCAGCCCCCGGGGGTGGGGGTGGGGCAGAGGGCTGACTGCTCTGCCCTCTGCCTACTTGTGGGGCTGGAGCTGGGGGAGCATAGGCACTTTGGTGGGGTCCCCCCTGCAGTGGTGCCCGGCAGGGTGTCTGGGGAGGCAAGCTGCAGCCCACACCCTTGCTTGTTCCTTTTTTCTAACATTTCTCTGTTACTTGTTTTCTAATCAGTCCTTCCGTGGAGTGTAAAATGCGAGGCTGGTTATTCCCATCACACGTTACTGTTTACTGTGGGTTCCCCCCTCTCGAGGTGCCACCATCCTTAGATGAGGATGATAAATGTTTGAGATGCATAACTGTGTCTCATTTCAGTATCTAGAAGATGGAAGAAGAGCCCTGGCAGCTTTCTGCTCCATAAATTCATAATTACAGGCTTCCTTGCCTTGTTTCTTGCAAACTGGAAAACTGTTGATTGGCATGTGGGTCTGTGAGTGTGTACAGTAAGGTCGGGGTATGGCAGGCACACTTCCCGGTCCCTGCCAGGTTCTGATACAGGGACTGCAGAAAGGTCCCTCCAGAGAGTTGGTGGCTGAGCCCTGACTGGCACCTGCCTGTTTGGAGTGAGATTACCAGCCCTGCTGGAATTGGGTTCTTGGCAGCAGTGTTCTGAGAGCTGTGTTAGCCAGCAGAGCGTATGGCACCCAAAGAGCAAGCTCCTCCAGACAAAGGCCAGGGAGCAGGTGCTGAAGCGAGTTGAAACAAAGTTGGAAGACTAGGCTGCAGGTGATGGAAAGAGCACTGGACTGGGAGTCCAGAAGCCTGAGCTTAATGCCGCCCCCACCTTCAACTCACCATGTGACCTGCTGCAAATCATTTAACTTCTCTGGATCACAGCATCCTTGTCTTTAAAATCAAGGATCGGAAACCTTTACGCTGAACTGCCTCTTTGAGATGAAAAACCTCTAGATTCTTCTCTGATATTTGGATTTGCACAGGCAGTTCAAGATGAGCCATCCCAAGTCCTCATCGCGCGAACTGAGATGGTGCCATCGGGTACCACCTTGTTATCATCATCCTAACCCTGTTCATCTCCTTTCAGTCTTGTCAACAAGAACAAGTCTCACTTCATAAGTACTTAGGGCATGCCAGGATGAAGGCCCTGTGCCAGGCGCTCTCCATCGTGAACGCTCTTAGAGGTGGATGGCAGTGCCCACCTGCTGCATGTTACCTGCCAGGCTATGCCCTGTGGGTCCCAGGGGCTTGGCTTCCTCCTGCGGAGCTGGTGGGGAGGTGTTACCGGGAGATGTCCTGGGGCTTTTCTGCTTGAGGCCTTATGTGGATTAAAAGAGGCTTCCACGTGCTCTATATTCTGGACTCAGAACTGCGTGTTTCTAGAAGGACTCTAGGTTTTGCGGTTTGATACAAACCTGGGTTTCAACCTAAGCTCTGCCACTTATCAGCCCCTTGCCCTGGACAGAGTTATCGTCACCTCACTGGAGAAGCAGGTGAGAGCACTCTGACCCCAGCAGACAGCTGAGCTGAGCAGGCGAGGGGTGGGCGCGCAGGTATAGGGACCAGCTGTGGCAAATGACGTTCCTCCTCGCTTCCCAGCCCTCTGCTAATCAGAGAACAGGCCTTGAGTCTCAGCTATATGTCGAGCATGGGCCTGGCACTTGGACTCACCAGTGAGCATGGCAGGTCCCCCAGCCCACAGCCCTCAGCCCCAAACCCAAGTCCTCCTGCGGAGGCTACATCGATGGAAGCGTGGGCCCCCTCCTCTGGGGGGCTGTGCTCTGTTCCTTCAAGCGCCTCTCCTCATTGCCACAGGTGTATAGTCTCCACCTGGCAGCGATGTCCTGACAAGGCCCAGGGCTTCCCTTGAGCCCTGTCTCCTATCTCCAGACTCTCCCTGGTGTACCTGCCGTTTGATAGGCTTTTGCTACGCTGACCCCTCCCCGAGGAGACCTTCCAGCTCTGCGGGTCCTCCCTTCATTCTCGGCCAGGCCCTAATGCCACCCACCACTTTCTCCTTGCTCCCTCACCCCGAGCTAGGAGTCAGTATTCCTCATGGGACCTGCTGAGCATTCTGTGATCTGTCATGCAGCATTTTGCTGTCTGCATAAGTTAGGTTCTGGTGGCACCTACCCGACCTGACCTCAGGTTCTTTGAGGGCCCAATCAGCCTGGCTGTGCTGGGACCCCGCAGCATTCTGCACATGCCGTGTGCACCCTGTGCCAGTATCTGTCACCTGGGGGAGTGAATGAAGACCCTGGGTTGGCAGGACTGTCCTGGGCCGTGGCTACACAGCCAGGGCTCCTCTTACGTGCATTTGAGCAGGCCTGGGGTTTCTGTCAGGGTTTCAGTTGACAACGTCAAGTCTTGACTTTCTTCTTTTCTTCCGTCTTCATGGAAACTTGCAACTCTCCCCGTGGGGGCTCTCTTGCTCTACCTCTTCCCACCACCCCGTTATTGAGGATTTGGGGGTGAACACGAGAAGTTTCACAAAGCTGAGATGCCCCCAAATTGGATGTGGGCCATTCCTGCCCCGATTTCTCTCAAATAGGAAGGAATATGACGCCGTCCTCTAGAGTAGAAATGAAGGAGACTGTTAGGACCGAGAGCTATTTTGTTCCATGGGGAGTTATTTATTTATTTACTGGACCACTTCTCAAACCATTTGTTCTCTCCCTTTAATGAAAACCTCTCAGGGGAGGCCCCAATAGGGGAGGCAGCCAGGATCTGCCTCATTAAAATGACATCAGGGCTCAGAGCCGGGCAGCATACCCCGAGGACTAGTTGTTGCTGTGGTGCAAGAGAGCCAGGATGTGGTTTTTACATTTTGGCCTCATGCACCATTTGGCAGTGGGGAGGCTCAAAGGAGAAGCGTAGGTGTCAACCCAGAGGGCTGGGGTGTCACCGACAGCCCCCGAGGAAGGGTTGTTTGCACTCTGTGCTGTGCATAGATAGTAACTGGTATACAGCCTCCCCTGTGCCCGGCTGGGGTAGACCGAGATGGATGCAGTTAAGGAGAACCCACTGTAGACTTGCACTCCTGGGTTTGAATCTACCTTTACCACTTGTAGCTATGCAGGCTGTAAACCTTCCCTAAGCCTTGCAGTGGAGACAGCAATCCCAATTCAGAGGACTACGAGTCAGGGTCCCAGCAGGAAACAGCATGCACAAATCCGGTTATTTGTGCAAAGGTTGATATAGGAACCCTTCACAAAGGTGTGGCTCCGACAGAGGCAGAGCAGTATTTGGGAGTAGGAACAGTGAGGCCCCGTTACCTCCTCTAGGACCAACTGGGGGTGGGCAGGAGGTGGTTCACAGAACCTGAAGACAAGTCCACTGGGACCTGTGGGGGAGGGTGGGAGCCAGAGCATGCAGCCCACCTTCATCCTCCTGTCCTGTCCCCCTCCTGTCAGCCTTCTGCTCATGTTCCCAACTGGCTGCACATAACCAGGCGCCAGGGTCAGCAATCCACAGATATGCAGTCCATACAGCTCAGCCTCCCGGGCACAGAGAAGGGCAGAGAGTGGGTCTAGAGGGGCAGGTGGAAGAGAGGCAACACTGAAGGGTTTGTGAGTTGGAATGAGACAGTCTATGGAAGGTGCTGGACGGTGACTGTTACAAAGCCAGGCATTGGGTGGCCATGTCTGTTCCTCCTCCTCCTCCTCCTCATCATCATCATTGTTATTGTTATTATTACCATTATTGTTATTGTTGAGGTCGCCCTCCTGGCACTGCTGCCACCCAGCCCTGCCTGTCCCCCCACACACATGGGGGCAGAGTCCCTTGGTCTTTGGCTTCTCCAGTGTAGTTCTGTGTCCTGGCATGTGCAGAGGGCTTTCGGGGTCCAGTGGCCTAAGCTGTGAGGTGAAACTAAACCACTATTCTTCTTGTCCAATATCACATCTTTGCTTTCCCCCACAGGGAGCCTTTCCTCCTGAGTCCTGGCCCTCCGAGGGGACTCCTGTGCCGAGTGCTACCACGCTGCAAGGAGGACCTGTTTCTGAAATGAAAGCCATGCCTTGGAACTGGACTTGCTTTCTCTCCCATCTCCTGATGGTAGGGATGGGCTCCTCCACTCTGCTCCCCCGGCAGCCAGCCCCGCTGTCACAGAAGCGGTCCTTTGTCACGTTCCGTGGGGAGCCAGCTGAGGGTTTCAACCACCTGGTGGTGGACGAGAGGACAGGGCACATTTACTTGGGGGCCGTCAACCGGATCTACAAGCTTTCCAGTGACCTGAAGGTCTTGGTGACCCACCAGACGGGGCCGGACGAGGACAACCCCAAGTGTTACCCACCCCGAATCGTCCAGACGTGCAACGAGCCCCTGACCACCACCAACAATGTCAACAAGATGCTCCTGATAGACTATAAGGAGAACAGGCTCATTGCCTGTGGGAGCCTGTATCAAGGCATCTGCAAGCTGCTCAGGCTGGAGGACCTCTTCAAGCTGGGGGAGCCTTTTCACAAGAAGGAACACTACCTGTCGGGAGTCAACGAGAGCGGCTCTGTCTTTGGAGTGATCGTCTCCTACAGCAACCTGGACGACAAGCTCTTCATTGCCACAGCCGTGGATGGCAAACCGGAGTACTTCCCTACCATCTCCAGCCGGAGGCTGACCAAGAACTCAGAGGCAGATGGCATGTTCGCTTATGTCTTCCATGATGAGTTTGTGGCCTCAATGATTAAAATCCCTTCGGACACCTTCACCGTCATCCCTGACTTTGATATCTACTATGTCTATGGCTTCAGCAGTGGCAATTTTGTCTACTTTTTGACCCTTCAGCCTGAGATGGTGTCTCCACCAGGCTCCACCACAAAGGAGCAGGTCTATACATCCAAGCTCGTGAGGCTTTGCAAGGAGGACACCGCCTTCAACTCCTATGTGGAGGTGCCCATTGGCTGTGAGCGCAGTGGGGTGGAGTACCGCCTGTTGCAGGCCGCCTACCTGTCCAAAGCCGGGGCTGTGCTCGCCCAGACCCTTGGAGTCCGTCCAGAGGATGACCTCCTCTTCACTGTCTTCTCCAAGGGCCAGAAGCGGAAAATGAAATCCCTGGATGAGTCGGCCCTGTGCATCTTCATCTTGAAGCAGATCAACGATCGCATTAAGGAGCGGCTGCAGTCCTGCTATCGGGGGGAGGGTACGCTGGACCTAGCCTGGCTCAAGGTGAAGGACATTCCCTGCAGCAGTGCGGTGAGTCAGGGGGAGGGCCTGTGGGCTGGGATGGTGTGGTGTGGCGGGGGGACTCTGGCCTGTGGCTTCCATGGGATGTGAGTCACCCATCCCATTTTGCATGTGAGACAAGTACCTCCGTCCCTGGGTCTCGCCGGACTCAGATCAGCACAAGCTCCAATGTGCTATGGCTATGACACTGAGCTTATCAGAGCTGGAGGTATTGCTGAAAGGCAGATTTCTTAACTGAGCGCTTTTCTCAGTTCCATACTGGCTCATGGTTATAGGAGGGCATGCTAGGAATGAGTGGGAATTATGTTTTATAGGTGTCACATGTACCGGGCATTGTTAAGGCTAGATTATCGTGTGCTCTGCACAAGACATGTCCCCTTCCTTCGTACTGACCATGCCTGCAAATCACTTTCCTGGGAGCTAAAGTAAAACCATTACTGGAATGAGCTAGTCAGGCTACATTTGGGATAGATCTAGAACTTCAGGGACATTGTGTTTTTAATTCTTGAGTATCTTTAGGAAAGGGCAAAATGAGAGCAGAAGTAGGGTGGGAGTCCAGTGAGCATAGAGGTGAAAGCAGAGCTTGCTCAGAAGCCTGCATATAGTAAGAATCTTCTGTGTGTACTGTTCTGTTCCATGGAAGAGATATGCCCAGCAACCTTGGAACAGTAGTGGGTGACCGAGTGCTGGAGGAAACCGAAAAAGGTGAGAATGAAGGGTTGGTTTAGGAGGCCTTCCAGGGCCTTGCTGGGTGGTCACAGGTGCAACAGGGGACATAGCCTCCTGCCTCTCCCAGCTGAACTCACTTGTAACCCCGCTTGCTGTGGCTGGACTTCTATTCATTTTTAAAATGATTCCAGTAGCTTAGAAGGCTCCATTCTGAGCATTTTCTATGTCCTGTGTCCATGTGCTTCCCCTTCTTATCATTCACTTAAAAGATCATGACCCTGGTTTGGGAAAAAACCATCCTGTAATCTTAACGTAGAGAGAAGAAAGGAAAATTCACATACAAGTAGAAGTATGTGATTCTTGATGGCCAGTCCAACTTTGGTGGAATTCCATAGTACGAAACTGTATTTTGATTGGCTTTAAAAGTCCAAGTTTCCCTTCATCAAGTATGGCCACTTGCCAAGCACATTTCACGGGGCGCTGCACCCAGGCAGCCTGTGAGGAGGCCATTCCTGCCGGCGCTGGAAAGATGGAGAGGAAGGAAGGGTTTATCTTTGGTATTCTAACCTTTAGGTTCAGGCTGTTTTCAGTGGTGAGTTTTCCAGGTGCCTGGGCTGAAACTAAAAGATGCCATTTCTTGGAGGTACTAAGAAGCCAAGAGTCCCCTAGTGTCACAGAGGAAATGGGAGAGGCACCATTGGCTGGAGAGGGTGGAGGGGACTCCACCGTACCTGCTGAACCCTAGCGGGTGACGTATCTTTGGGAGCCTTTGGTTTGGGGCAATGGCTGATCCACTCAGTAGAGTCGAGGGGAGAGGTTTATGAACTGGGGGGCCATGGATTTCTCCCAAATGCAGGCTATGAAGCACAGGCCAGGGGCTGTGTTGGGTGTATGTATACTACACATCCAAGCATAGCTCCCTGGAGGGGATGATGGTAGGAAGCTGGCATGGGGAAGGCCCTTGGAGACCCTCTGGTCTCAACCTTCAAGTTGAATGAATTGCCCAAGGTCACATATTTTGGAAAACAAAGTCAGACGCAGCACTTGAGGGAAATTTCCCTTGCCTCTTGAAGAAGGAAATCCCACTTGCACACACTCATGCACACATACGCACACCATATCTACACGTGCACGTGTGCACAACATGCAGTCAATGCCCCTACCAGCTTGCACACGTACACACACACCCTATGTTCAGAAATGCAAGTTTACACAGTGTGCTTGTGAAACAGCTAGTTCTTTTGAGATCAGAGGGGTTGGCTATTTTTTCCTGTAGATGCTTTTCTGTAGAAAACTTGCTCAAATTCTGTCTTTTCGGGTGAGGCTTTTGGGAGTAGAATCAGCCACCGAGATCAGCCTGGCTGCCTATGGGCAGGTGTTTGTCCCGCCCTTGCCCCCTGCCACAATACAAAAAGCAAAGTTCATGAGGGAAGTCTGCAGAGCTGCGGGTCCTAAGACCACATGGTGGCCTTGGAGAGAACAGAGGGACGACAGCTTTGCAAGGCAGGCTAATGCCAGGGCTGGGAGTCATGGAGGCAGATAACAAGCTTTTGATTTTTCTGTGGGCTTTAATTAGCCCTTTCAAGTTGGAGGCAAGTTCAGGGCTGAGAGCAGAAAGGAGAAGGCCAGAAACTCCACACCGGGCTGGGCTGTCTCCCCAGCCAGTGTAAAAGGCCCTGCCAGCTTGTAATGTCAAGTATCGGTTTCCTTTGATTCGGCCGGCGCTTGGATTACTTTGCTCCGGTGCTCCGGTGCTCGGCTACAGTTCCCTTGGCCCCAGCTCAGACCACACATGCTCCCCAAGCCATCAGCCGGGGCCGGAGTCCTGGGGCTCCCCAGGGAGGAGCCCTGCTGGGCACACCGCTTGCAAACCCAGCTTCTCCTCCACCCATTCACGTGGCTGCTGGGTTCCTTTCCGTTCTCCCTTCCTGCCTCGAGGCAAGGATCGGCAAGGTGAATCTAGAGTTCTCTCTTGCCTCTGAGTCCAAGATTCCCTGGAGGCCTGTGACGTGGGACAGAATCTCAGATGGATGGCCCGTGTCCTGGAGCGTGCCCTGTGTAAGACCACGGAAGGAGGGAAGCCTGGGCACAGGAGGTTGACTTTTAACATTAAAACCTAGCCTGTTTTGCAGGCTAGGTGTTCCCTCTGGGCTTTATCATAATTACGACGCAAAGAGTTTGGTGAAAAGGTGTGACTAGTGGTTCATTTTTTTTAAATTGAGATATAACTGATGCAGGACATTGTATCGGTTTCAGGTGTACAATGTAATGATTCGATATTTGTATGTATTGCAAAGTGATCACCGCAGGAAGTCTGGTTAACCACACCAAGTTACAATTTTTTTTTTCTTGCGATGAGAACTTTTAAGATCTTTCTCTTAGCAACCTTCAAATACACGATACAGTCACCATGCCGTACATTACATCCCCAGGACTTAGTTATGTTATAGCTGCAAGTTTGTACTTCTTGACCAGTGATTTGCTTTTATTGTGTTCCTGTTGTCTTCATTCCCCAAGGCTAGAATGCTCATCCTGTGGTATCCTTCAGGGTCTTCTGGCCTCTCCCATTTCTTGGGGTCCACATTCCTTCCCCTGAACTCGGGCCTCTGGAACTCAGAGCAGGGAGCAGTGTGAGCCGGGAGGTCCCTCTCCCCCTCCCTAGATCCCAGCTGCCACTTTGCATATGCTCACGGAAGATGAGGCGGTGTGGGAAGCGAACATCTGTGTGACCTGGGCTGCTGTGCCACGGAGCATTCGTGGAGGCACATGGTGAGCTGCAGCCTGGTGGCCAGATAAAGGGAGAAGTGTGGAACTCGGCCTGCAGGCCCCCAGAGAGCTCCCTGTTGCTTTAATGCCAGGTGAATCAGGGAAGGCTGGTGGAGCCCACCAGAAATAGAGGATGGCGGGCCGGAGTGGCCTCCTCCTGGGAATGTAAATGCGTCGCACACACAAATCTCTGAGTGGGTGTCGGGCAGGTGCGTAGAGGCTAGGAAAGCAGCCCCGGTATTTTCTGGTGCTTGTGGGAGATGGAAGTGGCTTCCAACTTTGCCTTCTAGGCCATTCTTTTTCTAATCAGCCCTAATAGAAAGAGGTATCCAAGAACAAATGGCCTAGAGTCTGAAAAATGTTCCATAGGTCTCAGGAGGGCATGGGCAGAAAGAGGGTCCTAGAGGCATCAGCCAGGGATCCCATTCTATTTTGGGATTCAAGGGACTAGGGGCCAACCTGAGGCCCTTTGCTTACCCACATCTAGGAGGGTTAATGCTAACATGTAAGCTCTGTTTCTCCTGTTCAGCCCTCAGATGGTCTCTGTCTCTGGTTTCTTTTGAAAGCTGTTACCCAGCTCCCCAAACCGTCTGTATGCAGAGCACAAGATGATTGGCACGAGGAGCCCATTGCCTATGGCTTCTGTCGTGCCATGGTCCTGAGCAGGCCAAGGTGACAGCTCCAGACTTTTCCTGGGAGCCCTGATACTCCTGACCTGGAGGGGGGCAGCCAGGCTGGAGAGTGTGCTATTGTGGGCCAAGGCTCTTGTACTCTACATGGACCAAGTGGCCTGGCCCCCAGAGTCCCCAGGCATAGCTCTCCATGCCTCCTCAGCCTCCTGAGGTAACTCATGGAACACTATCCCTCCCACCTCCAAATGAATTAATGAATAAACAGAACAATTATCAGGCCCTGGCAATGTACGCCTTCCTAGTGGATGCCAAAATCATGAAATGACATCAGTGTCTGGGGGCTCAAGAGTCCAGGAGAGAGATGCACCCCAGCAGGTGATTTTGACCTGTGTGACGGGAACAACGGCTGTGGTCATGGGAAAGGTCATCTCTCACGCCACTAAATCTGTGTGAGTTTGGATCCAATTGAGAAGTGGACATGGGAGTCCGGGAGTGTCAGCTTTAGTGCTGATAAAGCTAGATGGGGCAAAAATCAACTTCTTAATCTTCCCCTCAACCCTTGAACTTCGAGTGACCTTGCAATACAAAACATAGGTGCTTGGGGGAGAAACTTTTATCCAGAATCATTGCCTGACACTGGTCAGGTGTCCGTAGTGGGAGTGGAGAGAGGTGACCTCCGAGCTGCCTGGCAATCCCATTGCAGGGCTTCGCATTGTGCCTAACAGTTTACAGAGGGGCTCATCACCTACTTTTCTTCTCGAAATGGTGCTGCAGGGTAAAGCAAAGGCAACATCGTCTCCACTTGAGGAACTGGAGGAACAGAAAAGTCAAGTTATGTCCCTCAAGGTCATAGGATTGGTAGACTAGAACCTACTCTGCATCCTAATTCTCAGCTCAGTGTTTCCCCAGTGTGCTCACTGGTGTGTTAGTGGCATCCGGTGT